CTTGTTGAAAAACAGCCCTGACAGTTGTGTTTGGGTGAGAAGTGGTTAACTGATGAAAAAAAGAGCTGATTCTAGGATTTTCCCATGCATGGTGTCACTTTGTGAATGGTAATGAGCAGAAGAGGGTATCCTGTAGACCAGTGATGGTGAACCTATGGCACGCGTGCCACAGGTGGCACACAGAGCCCTTTTTGTAGGCACGTGAGCCATAAGTCGCCAGATCGCTATTCCCCCCCCCCCACACACACATAGCCAAACCTGAGAAGGTGGCTGCAGGCGTGGTGCTGGCGCTTCGACAGGCAGACCTGGAGCAGCTGGTGCTGGCAGCGGATCCAGAGTGGGGTCTCAAGGCACATCCGTGCCCGGGATTTCCCCTTCCGCCGCCACTTCCGATTCTGCCGCAGCATGCCGCCTGCTGGGGTTTGTTTGTTTTCAGTTTGGGCACGCAAGGCCAAAAAGGTTCGCCGCCACTGCTATAGACCATTTTGACCACTGCCATTATTTGTTGTCAACATTCAGGCTGTCATTTCCTATGTAAAACCTGGCATCCTTTTTCCTGCTGGCAACGCGGGCATGATACTGTGCAGCAGTATCGGGCCATTTCCCAGATTTTTGAATTGTGATTTCAGAACCACAATATCCCACATTCATAATTCAGACCTTTTTGAAGAATTGAATACTTATAAAGCTAAGAGTCCAGGTGTGGCATGGACAGGATTGTTTTATGTGCTTATGTAAGACTAACCTTGTAAACCAGTTATGGAGGGGCCTTACCATTAACTGATCATTTGTACATGTACTGTACTTCTTCTGCACTGTCACTTTTGCTGTCACTGTTGCTGAAATTATTTATTGGCCTTAAATTGAGAGAGGTATGTGGGATAGTGTAGGGTTGCACTTTGCAACCAGAGGAGAGCAGCACAGTGCTGTTATCTTGGTTAACCAAAGAGAGATACGTAAAACTACAGTACAATATTGCTAGGCGCTCCTGATCATTTTTATTTTTGCAATTTGTGCTTGTGTTTAAAATACAGAGAAAGATAGCCAATGAAAAACTGATAATAAATGCATGAAATCACATATTTACTACATAAACAGTAAGATGGCATCCTGAAATTTAAAAATAATGGTAGTTAAGGAAGATTTTGTTGACAGAAATTCTAAAAAAGACAGATGGAAACTTGTAGGGAAAAATGATTTAAACTTGAGTTTTCATGAGCTGAGATGTGTTATAAAAATACAGAAAACCCTTTTGTGTGTGATACTTTTATTCATTATAAAAGTCAGTATGAAAAAGAGTAGACCTTTGGTCTAGATGGGCGGGATACAAATCCAAATAAATAAATAAAAGCTATTTGCTACTCCATTGTTTCACAGCAAAAAAAAAATCTTAAATATATATTTTATTTATAAGGTTTATAAGGTTGAACAATTTTTTCTGCCTTGTGACAAATAAGTAGCAAAGAGTAGACCTTTGGTCTAGATGGGCGGGATACAAATCCAAATAAATAAATAAAAGCTATTTGCTACTCCATTGTTTCACAGCAAAAAAAAAAAATCTTAAATATATGTTTTATTTATAAGGTTTATAAGGTTGAGCAATTTTTTTCTGCCTTGTGACAAATAAGTAGCAAGATGTGAAGTACTGCCTCAGATATTGGTAAATGGGGGAAAAATGAAAGGAAGACACCAGAACTATTAAATTTGCCGATTGAAGCATAGTTTGTGCTTTGTTTGCAGCCAATTGTAGCTGGCAGACATGATCTCTCTGTTCTCAAAGAGGGATAAATCTGCTTTCCTCTTGCTAGTTAAGTATGGTTGACACTAATAGCTATTTGCCAAGAAGCTTGTAATCCTGATTTTTTTAAAAACTAAATTTGATTAGTGTAAGTGGAAAGTGTAATGCTTCACCATAGTTGATGTAGAGGGAGCAGAGGGCCTTAATGCTCCTTGATTACATTTTTATGGTTGGGAGATGGCTAACATTATGTCTCTTCTAGGCTGTAATTTCTACAGGAAGAATCTGAAAAACTACAAGTAATTCTACATGTTAAATGAACTTTGAGTTTGTGTTTCTTAACAGTAGATCTTTCTGTATGGTACCTTGTGTTTGAAATTAAAGAGACTTTTAAAAGGATTTTGTAGTTTGTAAACTCATTGTGTGAGTCTTAATTCCTTATCCATGCTAAAAATAACTCATTTGATCCTTGATCCTCCCTAAGCCAATCAACAGCCCTAATACTAATTATTTTACAAAATTCCTAAAAGGAGACATCTTATTGTTCAAACATGGTGTTATTTTGAATTTGAATTTCCTTTTTGTTGCATGGATGGATAATTTGGAAAGCCGAAGCTTCCACCTTTCTGCATGATTTATGGAGTTTTTTTAGGAAAATGCCATCCTTCCTTATACTCATATATATATTGCAGTTAAGTTCAGTTTAAACTTACATGATCTCCTGTCTGAGGAAAAATGTGAAAATGCTGAAGTATTGAAACATTAAATTAGCCAAAGCATTTGATGCCTGGATATAGAACGGGTTTTGAGAGTATGCCGTCAGGTATCTTTTTTCATATCATGGTTTGAAGCACAAGAAGCAAATTCTTTCTGTTTAGCAAATAGGAGGAATAACAAGATTTCCAGTCTAAGTGGTGTTTTGTTTCAGATGTGTTTGTTAAACAGTAAAAACTGCAAAACATTTATAAAAGTTCTTTTTTGTGTGAAATTTGCACTAAAAGCAAATGACAGATTATTTGCAGCAGCCAAGTAGAACAAATAACGGCAAATGACTAACCAATTCCTGTGCTCCAAATGGAACACACACTCAATTCACACATAATTGAGTGTTAAGAATTAACTAGAGAGATGTGTTTGTTAAACAGTAAAAACTGCAAAACATTTATAAAAGTTCTTTTTTGTGTGAAATTTGCACTAAAAGCAAATGACAGATTATTTGCAGCAGCCAAGTAGAACAAATAACGGCAAATGACTAACCAATTCCTGTGCTCCAAATGGAACACACACTCAATTCACACATAATTGAGTGTTAAGAATTAACTAGAGCAGGGCAGATTGACACCTGTGAACTAGAGAATCAGAACCAGATATCAGAAATAGTAACCTGAAATTGAGTTTCAGCCATGATTCACAAGCCTTATAAGGTTTAAATGGCAGGTCATAGTTACCACTGTTCCTCTCCCTCCAGTAGCTACTTACTCATGATAACAGGAGTGGAAGTTGCAGAACCAAACATGAAGAGGAAAGAAGAAAAAAGCAGATTAAATGTATACTGCTTGTTACATACTTACAAGTTCAAACTAAGTCTTCATATGATGTATACATTGAGCAATAGACTTACCTAAGGGGAACCATTCCTCTTAAAAATTCAAGAGCTTTTGCCTTTACAGAGGAGACATAGTTTTAGAAGTGTGCCTTATGCCTTCCTCCAAAAGCATCACTATTTTTTATCCTGGAGGACCAATTTGAACACTGCTTGTTACATATTTACAAGTTCAAACTAAGTCTTCATATGATGTATACATTGAGCAATAGACTTACCTAAGGGGAACCATTCCTCTTAAAAATTCAAGAGCTTTTGCCTTTACAGAGGAGACATAGTTTTAGAAGTGTGCCTTATGCCTTCCTCCAAAAGCATCACTATTTTTTATCCTGGAGGACCAATTTGAACATTGTAGCTGTAATCATAGGGGAAAAAGGCAGATTGTAAGTCAAATATTAGCCCTTATCAAGAAGGAAGCCAAGCTAGCAGGGTCCTCATTTTTTCCTAAGAAGCTTCTATGTTCCTAATCAATCCTACTGATGAAAGCATAAAACTATAGTGTAGTTAGCTATTTATACAATGTTACAGTGTTAGTGCATAGTACCTATATATTAGCATTCCCCAAGCTCTGGAAATGGGCTTTCTACCACTTTTACTGTCAGATTTTGATGGATACACAATGACAGGGGTGCTTTAACAAGTGGTATGTCCCGGGTGGTGGCAGGTTCTCCCCCCTAACCAGTAAAAAGATCTTAGTTATGTGCTGTCAAGTTGGAACTGACTTATAGATATTGCGACAGGACTTTTCAAGGCAAGTGAGATAATTAAGAAATGATTTTATGCATTCCTCTCCCAGTGGGTTTCCATAGTGAAGTGGGAATTCAAGCCTGTCCTCCAGAGTCCTAGTCCAGTTCTCTATCCAATACGCCACATAGGCTATCCCTGAAAATGTAGATTATGATATGTTAGGAGTTCTAAATTTTGTTCTATTGATTTTATGCTTGCTTGGCTTCATAAAGAAATTTTGTACAGTATATTTGAATTTCAGTAGAAGAAATAAAGCAGAATGTGATGGAAGAGATGATTGTGTTGTTTCCTACGTGAATTTCTTAAATGATGTTTGGGTACTGTTGATAAGATGACAAAGTTGTAATGTCTTAATATTAGCAAGAATGCTTATAGATATAAATGTGAGTTATTTCAAAACTCTGTCTTTGGATGAATGGCATCAGAAAATTTAGTATATGATTCGAAGTAAGATTACTGATATCATGGAAGAAGTAAGGATAACGTTAAGGATAACTATGAATCAGGTATCAAATACTTGATTCATAGTATTTAAACAGCCCACATCCTGTTGGGTGAAGGCTGCCTTTGCAGTGGACAAGACATTATAGGGAGCGAGAGTACCCCTGATTAAAGGCTTCTTTTTGCGACTTTGGACAGCATGTGACTTTGTTGCATGGTGTGCGAGTCATGTGCACCCTGAAATCGCAAAAGGAAGCCTCCAATCAACAGAATTCAGCCAGTAACTTCTAGCAGCCATCTGAAATCTTGTTAGAATAAAAGAAAGGTAATAGGTATATGCTATCCTTTTAAGATAAGAATATAATTGGCACCTAATTTAAACGTATTTTGTTGACTGCTCCAAAAATGGAGTCCAATTTTATCACTCCTTTCTTCACTCTAATGATGTGTATATAAATGCTTGCTTTTTAGGTTGGAAACTATAAGCGGACTGTGAAACGCATTGATGATGGTCACAGACTTTGCGGTGATCTTATGAACTGTATTCATGAACGTGCAAGGATAGAGAAGGTCTATGCTCAGCAACTAACAGAATGGGCCAAAAGGTGGAGGCAAATGGTAGAAAAAGGTGAACAGAATTTCAGACTTTATCTTAAAGTACTGTTTAAAATATCCCAGTATTAATTGCAGAATTCAACTTCACTTAATTACTCAGGAGACCACAGCTACTAAGAAAACTGCCGTAACCATCTTTTTTCCCCGTTTCAATTTGTGAATTGGTCTTTATTGAGAACTTCTTTTTTTTCAGAATGTCAGTGATCTTTAGATTTCAAAAAGAAGACTATTTCTGTAAAAAGCAATTAGATAGTTGGTAGATAATTTTTTTAAGCTTTACTCAGTCAATTAATTGTCTAGGAAAATATGAGAAATAGTGCTCATATTAAATGTGAATGTATGTGAATGTTACTGAATATGAATGTTATTGAATGGTCTGGAGATGACGTGTCAGAGAGCTTAAGGAAATTATATGTGAATGTAAATCAAATGAAAATCATAGTTTGCACCCAGATCTATCTCTCTACTGGTTAGATTCTTGGAATAAGAGTCAATTGCTGCATTTAAAAATAGCCACAAATGACATGGAAATACAAGTAGTGTACTTGCATGACATAATATTTGAGAAAATTATTGCAAGAATGCATATTTCCTGGTCTAAAATAGGCACAGTTGAGAAACACACAATGGCAAATTGTGCTCCTTCTGAGATTTTTGGAAGTGTAGTTTGTCGTTATTTTTGGGAAACTGGAGATAGGGGGAGACTAGAGGCATGTTGCTTCCAAGGAGAGCTAATCTGATATGAACATTTGGTGTTATTCTAGGACCAAGCAGAGACACTTTTATTGCCCAGGCCATTAACAGATAAGCTGACTGAATAGCTCAGTGAGTTAGGTATGATATATGGCTGTGGGGCCAAAGATTGGGCATCTAATTCCCCTCTGGGTTGCCATAAATTGGAATTGATTTGATGACATATGATTATTATTGATTATGAATCACTTTAGCCCTAGTCCTACATTCCTTAAATCACTTCATAAATAGGAGTAGGGTAAGGATGGGGACAATGTTGCATGTTTTTTTAAAAAGCAATATTATTTTAAATCCAGTACAGTGGACTCTCTACTTACGGAATTACAGTAGTGCCTCGCATAGCTAGGTTAATCCGTTCCGGATTAACCGTCGCTATGTGAATACTTTGTTAAACGAATACTTCATTAAATCGGCTGAAAACTCACTGTTTAACGAAGCCTTCCCATACCCTAGTGTTAGTGTTAGTAGTGTTGTTGTTGCAGATAGTAGCAACTATTGGGTGATGTTTCTTAACTGCTAAACATTTTATACTAATTTTATTTTAAGCAGTAATTGCAATTAAATTAAACATTAATTTAATTAAAATTTAAATTTAATAAATTTAATTAAAAATTCAATGGCTGAAATCTAATAGTAGAACTTATGCCATGTAAGGCTGATGATATCAGCCTTGGCTGTTATTTGTAATTAAAAGATTGCCATTCCCCCTGCCTCCAAAGGTCTTGAGGCTCTTTTGGGATCCCTTTTATTGGGTAAGGTAGTCTGAAGCCTAAACATACTCCATAAGAGCCTTATAGAACTTTATAGATCTTTAGGAAAAAATCAGAAGCCTATGTTCATCACAGCTGGGATTGTAATGCAACTTAAAAATATATAACTATGAGAGCTTGTCACTGAAGCTACCAACATGAATTTGACGAAACTCCGGGAGGCAGTGAAAGACAGGAGGGCCTGGTATGCTCTGGTCCTTGGGGTCACAAAGAGTCGGACACGACTAAACGACTAAACAACAACAATGAGAGCTTCATAAGCAGAATGGAAAATATAAGTACTCTAACCAAGCTTAATATGATAATTCAGACTGTAATAATAATTAAAGTTTTGCAAAGAGTTGAAAAGTATTACAATAGTATATTAACTAAGTTAGAAAAGCTCTCCGTTAAGTCACATCTATCTTAACAAACTTTGTAGTTAATAGCCTAGAGCAGTGACAGCAAACCTTTTTGGACTCAAGTACCCAAACCGGGGGGGGGGGACACCCAGCAGGCGGCGGAAGCAGAAGTGGGTGGCGGAAGGGGGAATCCCGGGCACGGAGGTGCCTCAAGACCCCACTCTGCATCCGCCTCCAGCTCCAGCTGCTCCGGATCCTGGCCCGCTGCCTGTTGGGCTGCCAGCACCACGGCTGCAGCTACCTTCTCAGGTTTGGCTGTTGGGGGAGTAGCGATCCGGTGACTTATGGCTTGCATGCCCGCAGAGAAGGCTCTGTGTCCCAGCTGTGGCACGTGCGCCATAGGTTTACCATTGCTGGCCTAGAGCATAAGCAATTACAAAAGCATATCAGCATATAGTAAAAAAAATCCTCTCTCTGCTCCAAGCAGAGTTGTCTACCCTCTAGGTGCTCTCCTATCATCCTCTGCTCCTTTCCCTGGCTATCTTTTCTGGCCATCTTTTATACCCTTATCTCCCCCTTCTTAACGGTCAACATCCTCTCTTGCTGGACTTGTGACTATAAGGTCTTGATTCACAGAGAAACATTTTAAATAGAAATTTATTTTGCTTTTACAACTGTTAATACAGTACTTGTAATTTAGAATCTGTCAACCAGGAGCCATGATGATGGGTATTATTATTTTGACTATTATGGGTTTCAATGAGTTGAAACGACAGGGGTAGTAAAATAGAGTAGGCCACAGGATCTGCAAATGGCATCCACTAGTCATGTTAACACACTGCAGTGTTCTACATATCAATGATTTCAGTACACTTTCAGTTCTCTCTCATGGATTGATTGTGAGTCATGAAAGAAATTCCTTTGCTGTGCAACATTACAGTGGATTCTGACCTTGCTTTAACACTATGCTGGAACTATTTTGTTGTTTTGCAGTGACTTTTAATATATTGCTGCACAAACCTCATTTTAAAAATACTGTATACATTTTGAGGGCTGTTTTTTCTATATCTCCCTTAATTGTTTTAGCACTGTATACATTCAGATTTTGACATCTTAACACTTTTGTCCTGGGGAAAGCCCTTGGGGATGGTGGGGCTGGGTGGAAGACTTTTTAATTTCTGCCAGTTATTGCCACTGGATAAATTACATATGAAAAACACCCACAGCTGATGACATAATCAGCCTTATGCAGCATGGGTTTTGTTATTGGATCTCAGCTAATCGTTGTCTTAAACCGCCATGTTAACTGATGTTGGCTTAAAATCTTACAAGAATTTGGTTTTAATGTCAGAGTAGTGGCAAGCCTTAAAAGTAATCTTTGAGGAAAGAGCTACAGATATCACAAGGCCTGCAAAAATATATGAAGTTGTTATGTACTAGAATTGACCTATAATGACTTTAATAGGGCTTTCAAGGTAAGTGAGTTATTTAAGGAGCAGCTTTACTAGTTGCAACACCCCCAGTGAGTTTCCATGGCTGAGTTGGGATTTGAACTCACGCCTCCAGAATCCTAGTCTGTCACTCTATCCATTACACCACTCTGAAGTTAGACATTTTGATTATAGAGCTGATGTGATGCAAAATACAGGCAGGATAATTCTTATGTAATATATGAGATAAAATCACAATATAACTGTCTCTCCAAAACTAAGGATTTAGTGAGGAAAATGACAAAAAACAACATTTATTTTTCCATTCAGGGCCACAGTATGGGACTGTCGAAAAGGCTTGGCATGCCTTTATGTCTGAAGCTGAAAAAGTGAGTGAACTACATCTAGAAGTAAAATCTGCTCTAATGAATGAGGACTTTGAGAAGATAAAGAATTGGCAAAAGGATTCCTTTCACAAGCAAATGATAGGTGGATTTAAAGAAACTAAAGAAGCTGAAGATGGATTTAGGAAAGCTCAGAAACCATGGGCCAAAAAAATGAAAGAGGTAAAACACCTGTTCCCTATTTTGCACCTCCATTAGCCTTTCAGTGTAGCACCCTAATTTCACCCCGGCTTGCTCTTCTCTTCCCCAGCTCCCTTGCTTACTTTTACATGTACTTGTTTGCTTGCTGGTCTTGCGGTCAGGATGGCCTGGACTGACCCAACTCTAGAGATTAGTGGTTTGTATTTAGGTAGAATAAGATGAGATAGAATGTGTGAAGGGGCTGCCTCTATCTAATTTTCCCCTATAATACCTTAGTAAGACTCACTTCTTGATGGTGTTCTGCTTTCTCTTTCTGTGCCTAGAGGAGAGTCTATGGGAGAAGCATCCATGGGATTCTTTTTCTTAGTTAGGGAAATGCAGCAGAGTGCTGTGGCTGCCCCAAGTTGAGCTATGTGATAAACTCAGGGTATAGTGAAGTTGCATTAATTGTCCTTACTGCTGTTTTTTTCTGTCTAGGTAAGTGGTGTTGTTCATTGAGTGGAAGCAGAGTTTACTTTCTATAATTAGCCAAATAAAAGCTTTATTAGGAATCTTAACTGTGTCTGGAAATGAGCAGTAGGATCTGCTAAGGACCCCACAAATACTATATGTGTGGAGTTGCTGTATGTTGAACAGGAGCATGCTCTTGGACTAGCATCCTGAACATTCATGCGTTGCATGGACATCAGCAGGAAGGAAGCCTGCACGTGAGCAACTGCTTGTACCTAGGCTTCTTCTCCTGCAGACATCTGTGCTAATCCACACTTGTCCAGGACTGAGGCCAATGATATACCTTGTGGCTCAGCTATAACTAATGCCATGGCACTGGTCATCCTGTGAGGATGTCTTTATATATTTTATGTGAAGGGGATATAGTGTACAGACTTCTTTAAGCTACTGCTCTTTATCATCCTGATGGCTTCCTTTGAAAAACAGCATTATTTGGAGGGTTGAGTTAAATGTAGCATTTGTTATAACTTTGGATGGGAGATTAATACTTTTTAATGGACTGGGAGCTGGTTAGCAAGCTTCTCGCAGTAGTGTATTCAAATATTTAGCTGGTAAATTCAGCGGACAGATTTTTAATAGGAGAAACTATGCAAGAATTCACTTTATTTTAGGCTATTTTAGGGTTGGAATTCTGGAATTTTTTTCTACCTGATTACTATAGTGGGTTCACAGTGTGGTGTATAGAGTGACAGACTAAGACTTTGGAGAACAGGGTTTTAATCCGCACTCAGCCATGAGAACTGATTGGGGGGGCGGCAGAGTGGAACTGGTAAAATCACTCCTTAAATATCTCACTTACATTTAAAGCCTTGTTAGGTTGCTATAAGTCAGTTCCGACTTGACAGCACAGAACAAACTCATTATTGGTAGTACTTGCTTACTAATGTAGTCGATTGCAATCCAGAGCACACCTACTTGGGAGCTCAATGGAATTTAGTTAAGAGTAAACATACTCAGGATTGTACTACTTATTCAGTTGTCAGTTACATGATAGCACTTCACTTTTTTAATATTCATAATATTGAAGAGATGTTAAGTAACCTACTTTAAATTTGAATAATCAACAAAATGCCAATTAGTCAACACATCTCGAGGTGCAGCCCCAGTTTGAATAGGCCTGGATTGTTTAGTAAGTATTGGTCCTCAAACCTGCTCCTGTAGTAATTCACTAGAGCATTATTCTCAGAATAATCCTTGGTGGTCTGTAGCAATCTAGTCCACCTTTATATCCTTCAGATGTTTTGGCCTGAAACCCCCAGAAACCCCAGCTGGCATGTCTGATGTTTATGACTAATGGCCAGATAGTCTAAAATGTTTGGAGGGTACCAGCTTGGAAAAGGCTGATCTAAAAACACTCAGATTCATCCTTATACATCCTTGGGTAATGTTTTCCCTTAGACTGTCTCATCTCTGCTAAAACATGTCCTCTTAGGTGGAAGCTTCTAAGAAAGCATATCATGCAGCCTGCAAAGAAGAAAAGCTTGCTGTGTCGAGAGAGGCCAATAGTAAAGCTGACCCAGCCCTGAATCCAGAACAGCTAAAGAAGCTGCAGGACAAAGTGGAGAAAAGTAAACAGGATGTGCTCAAGGTAAACTGTATCCATTATTCTGAATGTAGTGCTTTGTAAGCTTCCATGGGAAAGAAACTGAGTATTTCCATAGGGCTAGATTACTAAATATAATATGGGCAGAAAGTAGAAAAGGGTAATTAATTGTATTTGTCATAATATCATTTTGGTATGTTTGTTCAATTAAAATTACACAAACAAAGAGAAAATTCTGTCTTTCCAGTTTGCTTTGTAAAAATTATGAGAAATACTTCTGAGAAGTTGCATTTCTTCTGCAAATAGAGTTCTCTGTAGTACAGCTTTGTGTTTTAATTTTCTGATTGACAAACTTCGTATGATGTTTTTTCTAAGTAACATTTTAGAAGTATACCTGAACTTCAGTTATTTTATTCAGCATGGATTCTGTGAGATGTATTCCTGAACACTGGATGTACTGCAGTCCCTCAGATAATTCACTGAATGATTTTTGTTTTCTTTGGCTAATTTAAAATGCTTAAAATACAGAGATCCTGCCTACATATAATGATACATCATAGTTTATCAATATGGGCATAAACCACATAAAGCTTTGTATTCATTTTCTGTCCCTTCTTCTCTGGTATAGCCATAAAGAGGAGATTTATCACATTTAAGTGTTGCATCCAGGCCCTTAAATACAATTGATCTTAACAGTGGTTGGGGAAACAAGTCAGTTGCTGAATCTAGAGTTTCACACTGTTTTGTTTTCAATAGCTATCAATAAGATTAATCACAGCTTGTTGAGTTTGGATGACATCATAAACTATGATTAATAAATACATTTTAAAAAACACACATACTTCAAAACTGCTCTTTACAATCTATCCAGAGGAGGAGATGTGAGAGTTTACAACTCCAAGACTCAGCCTTTTAGTGGTAAATAATGGCATAATGTTTTGTCCAAACCGGGTCCAGATGTTTACTTCTAATTTTAGATTAGTGTTCTTGAGGTATCCGTGAGAAAGCTAGTACAACAAAGTTAGTCTTGCTTCTGCCATAGCTGATGTTTAGTCCTAATTTTTTTAGTGTGTGTTTTATTTGAAAGCAAATTAACATTCTTCCCTGTTCTGGTGGATAAGAATAACACAGCATTTCAATTTGCTGCCGCCAGAAAATATCCTAAGAAGTACCATCAAGGACTAGTATGTGTGGATTTGGATTAGGTGGGAAAACACATACCCTGCTTCCCCAAAAATTTATTTATTTATTTATTTAATTTATATGCCGCCCACTCTACCCAGAGGTATTATAAAATAAGAGTCTTATATTAATTTTTGCTCCATAAAATGCATGAGGACTTATTTTCAGGGGATGTTTTATTTTTTAAAAAACGTACAGCAATCTACATTTATTCACATACAGTCATGTCATCTTCTGGTTGCTGCACAATGGTGGAGGGCAGGGTTTCACTTAACTAGGGCTTATTTTGGGGGTAGGGCTTATATTACGAGCATCCTGAAAAATCCTACTAGGACTTATTTTCAGGTTAGGTCTTATTTTCAGGGAAACAGGGTAATAACTAATAATTATTTTTATAACTTTGTTCTGTGTGTCTGTTTTTTTTAAGACAAAGGAAAAATATGAAAAGTCTCTTAAAGACCTTGACAGTGCTACACCTCAGTATATGGAAAACATGGAACAAGTTTTTGAACAGTGTCAGCAGTTTGAGGAAAAACGTCTCCGTTTTTTCCGAGAAGTGTTGTTGGAAGTTCAGAAACATCTCGACTTGTCTACTGTTGCAAGGTAAATACACAATACTTTTTGTCTTATTGTATGTGGAAGTTTTCTGTATGTAAAGCAGTGTAGAAATAAATTGTGTTTGTCCTTTCATTTGAAAGCTGCAGATCAGTTTTCATTAGAACTGTCATCTGATGTAAAGAAATGTTTATAAATGTTAGTTAACTAGATCTGCAAAAATTTTTGTTCATTAGTAGTGCAGTCCTACTGAATAGAAGCCCATTTCTGTTCCAAAAAGTCTAGTGATTGCTTCCAGAGACTTCTTAAATCAGGGTGACAACCGTAGATTATATGTCTGTGCTTTAAAGATAGGTCTTCTCTCTATATAATGCAAAGCTGCTGGTGAAATGTCAGTGTTCAACTCCTTCTGCACTCAGTCTTTCACCTCTGGAAATAGATCTGGTGGTAGTGAAATACTGGCTTCAAAATTGAAAAATGCAATATAATTCAATATAGTATAGCATAGTATAGTATAATATAATATACAGTGGTGCCTTGCTTAGCGATGTTAATCCGTGCAGCAAAAATCGCTGCAAAGCGATAACATCGCTAAGCGATTTTTAAAAGTCCATAGAAACGCAATAAAACGCATTTAATGCGTTCCTGTGGGCTTAAAAACTAACCTTATGCGAAAATCCTCCATTGCGGCTGCCATTTTCGGTGCCTCTAAAGCGAGGCAAAACAGCGGGCGGCCATTTTTTCCCATCGGCCATTTTGGAACCGCCGATCAGCTGGCTGAAAATGGGGGCTTTACGATGATCGCTTCCCCACGATCATCGCAAAGTGAATTTTCCCCATAGGAAACATCGCTAAGCGATCACTTTTGCGATTGCAAAAACAGCGTCGCTAAGCGATTTCGTCGCTCAACTGAGTGATCGCTAAGTGAGGCACCACTGTAATATAATATAATATAAAATTCCTATATAGTATCAGTGACATACTACTGACATTCCAGTGGTGGAGAAACAACAATACTAAAGAACTGTTATGTTACACCTATTTTATTGCCAGTTTCTCAAGTGACCTAATATTCTCTATATTAATTAATACACATGACTCCTCTGCTACTCTTCACCTTTTTGTTTTGTTTTGTTTCTTTGGATTTTTCAAATGAGTTAGAAATCTCAAAAATAAAACTCTGCAATACATACAAAAAGGGGAAAATGTCATTTGACAAGATTCATGCTTCTGCTGGGGTGCAATATATTTGGCCAAATAACATGCAAAAATAATTTCTCAAATGATTTATTCTGTGTATCTTTGAAGTAACTATTTTGCGAAATAAAATGGGTGTGCAAAGAGCTTGAATTTAGGTCATTGTATAAAAAGTATGATGTTGTACTCTTCATGATGAACAAAAGAATGTGAGTGGAAAGTGGAAGGGAGAATCTTGGGGAATAACTTTTTTTCCCTAAGAAGCAGCAAATTTGCCTGATACTTTATCCAAAAATAAAGCTAAACAAACATAACATTGCAATATTTGATGTATTTGAGCAAATAACTCAAAGTTGCATTATTTCATTGCATTTCCTTTTATATTGGAACTGTTTGCTTGTCAGCATTATGAGACTAGTCTTAAAGAGGAGCCACTGTTTTCTTTTGACCACTTAGAATAAAATGTGTTTGGCATGTTTTATGTGCCCCATCTTTCTTACTCCTAAAAAACAAAACCATCTTGCTGCTGTTGTAAACTGCCCTTCATAAGTCAAAGTACTATCCAGAAATGGGTCCTTATTCAGTATTTGAGGACCAGAGAGTGTCAGCTTCCTCTTTGAAGCCACATTCTTGGGCTTGTTTCACATTCTTTCATTCATATCAATTAAAGCACACATACTTGTTGCTTTCCCCATGTACTACATGAGCAGGGTAATGGCTCATTAGTGTTAAATGCTCTATTTGTGCTCCCTCTATATTTTTAGGATTTTTCTTTTCTCTTAGTTTTCAGGCTAAAATGGATTGCAGGTATGTTACTAGATTTAGTGTCATTATTTTGAAGTCTTACAGTAGAAAATGTAAGGAGTTTCTTAATTTAATTACTTGTAATAATGTGATTTGTGCATTATGACTTCACTGAATTAATCACTGTGTGATTAATTTATTATTGACAAGACTGTGGATACTGCAATGGGATGTACAATAATTGTTGAGTCCTGCACATTGGATGACTATATCATTCTTGCACTTTAACACTTCATTGTGCTAGAGAGTGCACAGCTTGCACAAACTACTGCTCATCTGTACTGTTAATTTGTGCACTTTGTATTTTGCACTATGATCTGTTTTGAAGCAATAGCATTTTTTCTTTAACTAATGATTGTACAGTATCTATCTATGCAGCTTTTACCACATACCAGTGGTGCCTCGCTAGACGATAATAATCCGTTCCACTGAAATAGCTATTTAGCTAAATCATTGTCTAGCGAAAAGCATTTCCCCATTGGAATGCATTGAAACCTGTTTAATGCATTCCAATGGGGAAGAATCGTCGTCTAGCAAAGATTGGCCATAGGAAAGCCGCTTTGCGAACTGCCGATCAGTTGTTTAAATAGCTGTCTTGCGAAGCTTAGATCCCGAAAACACCCGTTTTGCAAGTGCGGAGGGAGCTGTCAAAATTGTTGTCTAGCGAAAATCGGTTTGCAAAGCAGGGACCAAACATCGTCCAGCGAAATCCCCCCATAGGAATCACTGTTTTGCGAATCGCTATAGCAATCGCAAAAAGTCAATGTCTAGCGAAAAAACTGTCAGTGGGGTAACTGTCTAGCAAGGCGCCACTATATTTATATATAGGTTCAATATGGAGTTTGTGCCAAATGCCAAACTCAGTAGATCCACCAAGAGTTAATTTGATAAAATGTATTCAATTTTTAAACATATGTATAATACAGTACACTTGGTTTAAAATAACTTCCTAACAGATCTGTAATAACTTGTAAAACAGTATGTATTACTTACAGCTATAAAAATATTTATCGTGAAATGGAGCAAAACATTAAATCAGCAGATGCTGTTGAAGATCTAAGGTGGTTCAGAGCTAATCACGGTCCAGGCATGTCAATGAACTGGCCACAGTTTGAGGTAAGGCCTTTACTTGTTTTCTGGTATTTCATTCTAATCTTCCTTGTTCTGGAAATATAACTGGTTATTGGTCTCCTTTAAGTACTGGTTATAACCTATAAAGGCCTGTTTGCCTTAGGAGTACTTAAATTGTTTTCACTCATATGAACCTGCTTAAATTTTGAGAAATTAGGAGAAGCCCTTTTCTCTGCCTTATTATTGTCTGAGGTGCATTTTATTTTTGTTTGTTTGTTTGTTTATTATTTATTTATTTATTTATTTACGCCACCCACTCTACCCAAAGGTCTCTGGGCGGCTTACAACAATTAAAATACAATAAAAAATAAAATGATTAAAATACAATTAAAATAGATACTCTAAAAATTGCCATCAGGACCCACAGTTGATGTTATTTCAATTAAAAGCCTTCTGGAACAGGAAGGTTTTGACCTGATGCCGAAATGTCATCAGTGTTGGCGCCAGACGAATCTCAGTCGATAGGGCATTCCATAGTCAGTGGGCAGCTGCCGAAAAGGCCCTTTGTCTAAAAGCCGTCCTTCTTACCTCCTTGAGGGACGGCTCTTTCAAAAGGGCCCCCTGGCTAGATCTTAACTACCGGGTAGGCTCATGTGGAAGGAGGCAGTCCTTCAGGTATCCATGGCCCAAGCTGTTTAGGGCTTTATATGTCAAAACAAGCACTTTGAATTGGGCCCGGGCAGCAACTGGTAACCAATGTAATTTAA